TGAAGTTTGTCTCGCGTGAGATACTTAGATTTTCACTCAGAATTAGATCCAAATTTTTCAGTTGAATTATATGATATACGTGATTTATATCTGCATTTTTAACTGATTCAAACTCTTGTTTAACTTCGAATTCAGGTATGAGTATCTCACTTGAAAGAAGTTTCAAGTAACGACTATTAATACAGGCGCTATAAGCAACAACATCATAACGTAAAAAGAACGTAAAAAGAACGTAAAAAGAAAATCCTAGAAAGTGTAAACTTCTAAAAGATATCTTAAGGATGTCTAACAAGAATAAGATGTCTTTTGGATATCTTGAGACATCTTGCAAAAGTTTGCGCTATTTAGTTATCGATCGATTTATTGAATATCATCAGACTTGTAAAAATATCAGTAAAATTGTTTTCAATTTAATAATTAATTTGGACGTTTCAATTCAACTACTTAACGATTGATTCAAGCAAAATCAACCGAAGAATGTTTAATTGACAATTGATTTCAACTAATTCAATTAAAGACTGTTCAATTAACGGTTTATATGAGTAAAGAAAATCACGAATTGCTCAATTAATAATTGAACTTGACAGATTTAATCAAAGACCGTTTAATACGATTGATATGAGCAAATTCAATCGATTCAATCAAAGAGCGTTCTATTTCTCAAAGTTACAATTGATTTTGTGAATAATATTCGTTCTTAGAAAATGCGAGTGATTGAATAAAACCTGCATTGAAAGGAGCACTGAGCATATCAATCGTCACCAAACAACTTTCGATTGAATCGATTGAATTTGCTGGCATCGATCGTCAATTAAACGTCCTCTAATTAAATTTGTCAAGTTCAATCGTCAATTAAGCGGCCTTTAATTAAATTTGCCGAGTTCAATTATAACTGAACGACCTTTAGTTCCCTTCGCTCATATCAGTCGTCGATTGGAACGAATCTTTAATCGCTGAAAGCGATCGTCAGTCGAGCGGTTTTCGATTGAATTTGTTGAAATCGGTCTCCGGCCGAATCGTTGCGTATTAATCGTCAATTAAACACGATAATTAATTAAAGACGTGATTGATTACTCGCGAGCCTGGATGCAAGTCATCGGGACGAAGTCGGAATCGCGTCGGAAATAGACACGTGAATTCTTCGCGTGCGCGCGAACACGATCAAATCTGCATGTCATATGAGTCCGCACGTGCGCCTCGACCGCGATATTTATGTCGACCGAGCGGCCGGCAAATAAATTAGTCGCGCCTTGTGCATCGCGAACGCTCTCCGCGTGTAACCGTGCGGCGAGTGATTACGGCGAACCGTAATAGCCGCGGATAACGGACAAAAACATCACGTTATTCGCCCGCTGCCACGAGACCTCGCTCTGCCCACGTGCTGACTTCACCTTGCGAAAATCGCGTATCGCGCGAGACCGATATCGCGATACTTCGCCAATGACGCGCGATATCGACGACGCGCGTGCTCTTATCGCTTCTTTATCCTCTCGCTCCATCAGATCCAACCTATCTCACAGTGTTCTAATGTATCTAGCCACATAATGTATTTAATTACAATACCTGGACACTTCTTGCATATCTCTGTTTGTAAATACTTATATTTTTCACAGTAATAGCTGCAACTGTAGCTAATTAATTTTACACTGAAAAAAGGACTTGGTTGACAAAACTAAAATTTGGTTAAAATGGAATCAATCAAATAATTTGATTGCCGCTATTTTGCCTTACTTTATCAGTAATATATTTACTTAATCATTAAGCAGAGCAAAATTAATTTTTTTTATTGCAATTACCAAACATTTCATTGATCCTATTTTAACCAAATTTTGGTTTCGACAACCAAATCCTTTTTTCAGTGTATCTCGTGTCTATATCTAAAATTCCATTTCAGATACAGACACCATTTTGATGAGCGCCTCTCAAAATATACTATATCATGTAAATTTTAAAACTCAAAACAAAACGTATTGCAATCTTTTAGTGCCTGTCCAAACAAACTTGTTAAATATGTATGCGTGAAACTTGCTTCATTTTGATAACAAATGAACTTTCTCGCCATAGTGAACTACATCCCCCAATAGAATAGCAAAAATAGTATAAAAAACGAAGGTTTGTATTTTTCAGTGCGAAGCAACTGCCTATATTCCACACGCTAAGTATAAAACTTAATAATTCGTTAACTATTGCTCGTGTTAAAATATGGCAAAAGACTTTTCGTCTCGGTTTGACTTCTAATATCTATCATTCTAATACTTGGAGGTGGGACATTCTATATACGATTTTTTCATGTAAAATTACCTGCTTAATATTTACATAAAAATTCTAATAAAATGTGTAAAAAGATAATTATGATTTTACTGAATGAAATACAAAAAAGCGCACAGCACTTTCTTATAGTCTGAGGTACTATAATTAAATTTGCAACTTATCCATATACAATAAATGCAATGAAATATATAACAAAATAAAAAAAAACTATAATAAATATGTTGTATCCATATAAATATGTTGTATCCAATCCAACATATTTTTGAAAAGTATCTCAGGCATATATAGTTATTTTCCACGTAGTATCAGTATATAGTATATTTGCCTTAAATTTATACCTGTATCTAGATATATTTCTTTTTTAATACCCATAACTAGTTATCTAGTTATCTCAGAAAATATATGTATTGTATGGTGCTATTTATATAAGCATCTGCATGGAGAAAATATTGCAATGAAAATTACAACAAAATTTTATCTTTTTGGATCATATAGAAATTATAAGTGAAATTATTATATATCGTTAATATAGTTATAAAATTATAAAATTATAAAATTATAGAATTATAAAATTATAAAATTATAAAATTATAAAATTATGAAATTATAAAATTATAAAATTATAAAATTATAAAATTATAAAATTATGAAATTATGAAATTATAAAATTATGAAATTATAAAATTATAAAATTATGAAATTATAAAATTATAAAATTATAAAATTATAAAATTATAAAATTATAAAGTTATAAAATTATTATAAAAAAAATAACTTTTACAAATAATCTTTGCCTTGAAAAAACCTCAAAAGCCCTAAAAAGAATCAAATAATTTTGACCCAATATTCCTATATATCTACAATTAGAATTATCAAATTTTCAGATCATCTGGGCAAACTCGGGTAATGACACTAACTTAACCTAATAACCGTAGATATAGATAACATACTTAACAAGTTACAGCAAGCTCCATATCGATATCTCTAACGGTTCTTGAGTTGTAAAGGAACATACAGCTGATTAACTGAAGCAACACTTATCCTTAATGGGTTTGTAACGTATCCTATATCCAATAGAAGAATTCGTTTTCTAGTAACTCTCAAGAGATACGTTTTCCAATTGCATGCGGAACGTGTTACAAAACTCACCGAGGAAAAGTATTGCTATACGTAATCAGCCAACTGTACAAACAATATACATACAGAACAAATCGAGAATTTTTTTCTTCGAAGTAGATAAAAAATGTTACATTTGACGATTTTTACTACAAAATTATCGCAATTACTTGAATGTTTTGTTATACTCTCTTCAAGTATCTCTCTTCAGTAAACATTTTTCCGATTGAAATTGAAGAAATATTTCACCGATAACACTGGCGTGCAAAATTTAACTTTTTTTGTGTTCTGAAAAACAAAAGTCGTTTCTTACGTAATTTTGCTCGCAAAATTTGAATCTGCTCGCAGAATTACTCTCTATCGCATAAGATTTCCGAGATAAATGGGTTAAAATAGTCAAAAATAGCGATTTTTGCTATATTCATCTTATTATTAGTAACAAAGCAATATTTTTCTTAAATATACTACAATAGCATCTTAAAGTACTGGTTTTTATTTTAAAAATGAATTTTGGCTTTCACAATCGTACGATTCGTTTCCGTTGAGATATTCTACTTCGAATGTATACGCGCGTCGCGTACACACAACAAGGAAGCTTTGGAGTCGTGAAATACTATGGAGTTGATAAACCACGGCGCCCTTATCCTTCTGAGATACACATACCACAACAAATTAAAAGTGTGGTCTATTAGTTTAAAATGCTAGACTATAATGCGCTATAAATACTGTACATTCGAAATGGAATATCTTAGCAAAAAATTATATGTTTAAAAACCAATATCAATTATTTTCAAGATAAAAACCAGTGCTTTAAGATGCCATTATAGCGTTTTTAAGAAAAAAATTATTTTATTAATAATAAGATGAATGCGGTCAAAATCGCGGTTTTTAGGTATCTCAACCCTTTTATTTCGAAAATCTGACGTGATAGAGTAATTCTGTGATCGGATTGGGCGAGTAAAATTACGTAAGAAACGACTTTTGTTTCCCAAAATGCAAGACCACGCGTGCCTGTATAATCGGTGAGTTTTCAATGGAAACACTCCCACTTTATTACTCCGTCTTTTAACTCATTGATTTTGAAAATCTCACTTCTAAATCTGTAGCACACAAATTCCCTGTACGCAACACCGAGTCCAACTTTCTGCGCTTATGGCGATGGAATTAACGGCTTCAATGCGCTTTGCATACGATTGCATGTCTGTATTTGCAAAAAGCATTAGTAATAAAAACAGTCGTTATTATTAACTGATTCTATCAGCGAGATTTTTCTGATTGCAGTGCTATACTTCTAACTGAACCACCAATTGCAAATGTTTCAGTGTAGTTTAGTGTATTTCAGTGAAGAACAGTTATTATATTTTAGAGAGCATCGTATCTCTAGAAAATCGTCAAATTTATCATTTCTATAACAATTTATGCTACAATATTTCTGGAAAGTCGTCAAATTTATCATTTCTATAGCAATTTACGCTAAAATATGTCAGCATTATATGATCCAGCTTTACAAAAAAAGGTACTGCGTGAAATGAAATATAATCTGAACGTAATTCTTCCCTACAATACTTTCTCCGTGCAGAGAGCAGCGAAGCGAGATTAAACAGATCACTCACCCTCGTAAGGCTTCTTGGACATGCCGAACGTTGCTGCGGGTCGTCTCCATCCTCTCCAGTTATTGCAGAGCGACTCATGCTCGCTGCTGAAGCTGCACAGCGAGTCCTCCTCGAAACGGTCGGAGTCGTCGAACGAGAAACGGTCGTTCTCTTCCCATTCGATTAAATGGCCGGAGAGACCGGCGCCTTCCTCCGTGGCGCCGTTAGCGATTCCGGAATCGGCGGCGGCGGCGGCGGTGGGCGCCCCCGCACTTCTAGAGCACGCGCCACCGCCACCGTTGTTATTGTTACCGCCGCCGCCACCGCTGTTGCCGGTACCACCATTGCCACCGGTACCGGTTCCGCCACTACCACCGCCGGATCTGCTGGCGTTACGTCCGACACCGCCGCCTCCGCCTCCGCCGCCGCCGCCGCCGCCGCCGCTGCCGGAGGACCGAGCCAGGTTGCCCGCCAGTTTTAATTGTCGTACGAAACGACAACACACGCGACACTATGAACGCGACGGTCCGTCTCCGTCACGCCGTGTGTTTCGCTGGCACGACCACGTTGCGCCTTCGCCGACGTGCTCCGGAAAATCTGCGGAGAGAAACGAACGGCCTCGTGTACTTCACGTCGTGTACCCCTGTCTCCTTCTCCTCTTCCCACTCTCTCCGTGCTATCCAATAATTCACGACGCACAACAGCGTTCCCCAAACTCTAGCCGTGAAGGTTGCCCGACGGAAACATTGTCGGACAAGGACTTGTGTGTGACCTTCTCTTTTCTAATGATTAGAATTTCGACCGTTAGCACGCCGAGAAGGAATGGAAGGCAGTAGTGAATTCAAGTGAATATTTCACGATGATAATCGGGAAATGTTCCGTCTCTTGATATCCTATCGGGGAGACCAGTTTGGGGGACGGAGCTGTGTTTCTTTCCGCGCGCTTATTCCCTCCTCACGGAACGCGGAAGGGGGAGTCGTTTGTGAAACAACGCGTGCTTGCATCGACACAATGTGCGTGGAATGAGACCAGATAATATCAAGACGCAAGTCTCAGCGGTGAGGTAAACGTCCCGGTGACTGAACCAGTAAGAAAAAGCAGTTTTACACTTTCATCAATAAACAATTAATGGAACTACTAACAAAACTAACTAACTTTGTCGGTGAAAAATAATAGAAGAAAAAGATAATCAATAAATATCAATTATAATATTAGATAATATATCAAATCAATTATAATCTTAATGAGAGACATTAGATAACGCCGACTGTGCCAGTTGAACCGAAAAATGAATTACGTCCTAATTACCGAATAATGCGGAGTTAACGATGGAATGATTGTGAAATAACATTACAAATTGGCGCGCGTGAAGAGAAATCTCTTAACAAGATTTCAAAGGCTTTTTCTTGAGAAATATCGAATACAAATGTATTATTAATGTTCCAATCAAGTTCAATCACCGGAACATTTACTTTACTGCCGCAAGGTAAAAACGAACAATCGAAAGTTTACCTTTCTCTCAACGTGACGGCGAAAAAATAAGTAACTAAACAATGCCCTGCGAGAGCTCAGAGAACGTAGACTTGGAGAACTCTGTTGAATATTTCACGACACGCTGATGGCCAATGCCAGTGACTGACGTTACTTTGCAGGTGAGGATCTTCGCTCACATTTCGCCGGTATGACATAACGGACGATGAGGTCACGGAAATCAACAAGTTTTTCGCGAACGCGACGAAGCCGCGACGGCCGATCGCTATCGCGCCGCGAGCGACGTGCGCGCGCACGGACGCGCGCGACGACGGCGACAACGACGGCGACGACGACGACGACGACGACGACGACGATGATGACGACGACGACGACGACGACGACGGTGAAGCGCGTCACGGCAAAACGGCCGGAGCAAAAGTAACACGGGAACAGCTGATTCACAGAGTTATCTCGTGGATACGCGTATTGATTTTTCCGCCGCGGCACTATGAGTGTCGTCTCGCCGTCGTTTCGCGCGTCGCCGACGAGGCTCCGGACTGTACAGCGCGAACGCACGATGCCCGACGATTGTGCGCGGCGCTTGGCATGCACGCCTCATATACGCTGGAAATGTCAAGCGACGAACCGTTGGAGTAGGTTAGGGCGACTCACTACACGATTCGGAACCGAGGTGGATGCTCGAGAGAAAAAGAGAGAGAGGGACTGAGGAGTTGCGATATATGTCGATGACGCGCGACGGAGCGCGCGTGGACCTTGACAGGTCGACAGACCCGCGTCAAGAACGTGCAACGACCCCGACCCCGTGTACGGGAGCACCCTCCCACCCTTCGCCCTTCCTCCTCTCTTTCTCTCTATCTCTGTCTCTCTTACACCTACGATGCTCGAGGCTTCTCTCACGAATATATTCACAGGAACGCGCGGACGCTCGCACACGCACGCTCTGTTACATCGCATGTATGTGTGCGTGTGTATACATATGACACACATGCGCGCGCGCGGCCGCCGTTTCAACCCTTGGTGTCCGCTTACCTTCACCCCCGAGTCCGAATGTGTCCAAGGTATCCGTGCAGCGGTGCACCACCACCACAACCACCACAACCACCACCACCACCACCACACCACCACACCTCCTCCTTCTACTCCTCCTCACGCACTGTCTTCTAGTACGTCGGCTGGGCGCATCATCGACGAGCGAACGTAACCGGCTTAACGGAGCGAGCAGCCGTACACAAACATAGGCAACACACACGGTAATGCACTTGACAACAGAGTGGTGGGACAGCTGAGCCACCACAAATGCTCCATCGATGTTTCCCCGTTACGTTAGGCGATGCATGGCGCGCGCGCGTTCACCCGCGAAAGCCGCCGCGGTGGTCGCGTAGACGCGCGTTCGCACGGTCAACGTCGGCAACCTCGCGCACGTCGGAATCGCGCACGTATCTGACAGCTCGGCCAGTTCGGAAACGCCAGACTAGCCTCCCCCATCGACGACAACAACAAATATGGCGAGCGGACCACCTCCTGCGCCTCGTAGCTCCGACTGACGGCTAGGAGTAAGATGGCGCTCTCTCACGTCTTTCCCCTACCACGTTCTCGCAGCTAGGTATGATCGTCCTCGCGTATCGCAATCGACCGTCCTCGATTATTATCTCGATTCGCCAACGGGGAACCGACGCAACTTCACGACGCTCGCCATTCAGTCGATAAAGTAATGGCGCTGCTCGCGCTGCGCGGTAACAATGATTCAATGCACGTTGTGTGTGTTAAAATAACAATATAAAACAATGCTTTATTGCAGTTATAGACGATTACCAAGTTTTCTGCTTTTCTCACCGGGACGTTTTATTTGCATACTTGGCGCTTAACGTGCTGTTTTTGCAATGTGATTGTCATGTATATGGTCGACTGATTAAAGGTAGCGACATTTTTCCTCAATGACTTTGCAATGTATCCAATAAAAGAATTTGTTTGTTAGTAATTCTCAAGAGATCTAGTATCCTATTGAATACGTTGTAGAATTCATCGAGGAAAAATATTGCCTACATCTGGGATCGATTTCTTCAGCCTCTCGGTTATCTAACAGTTAAATCGTACGTTTGTCGTTGTCTAATTTGAAGGAAAAACAAGGAAAGACACAAAGACATGTGATTAGCTTATTAAAGACAATTTTTGGCGATCGTTTGGTACATATATCAAGTTGTTATTAAGCAAGTTTACATCAAACATTTAATATATATACTAAATATTTATATAGCACAAATATCCAAAATATCTTTCAGAGATATCCAAATATCTCTGCGACGTATCTAGAATGTGTTTCGGACATTTATACTATATAGATATTTAATACATATATTAAATGTTTGGTATAAAGTAGGCCAATGACAACCAAGTACATATACCAAAAATCGCCAAAAATCGCTTTAAGAGGTTAAAGAAATTGGTCCTTATATCGATCAGTCGATTATATAGCGTTTCTTCAGCATGAAAATCAGAAGGACATATTCAACAATACATATAAATCCTGCAGGCTGATTCTCTAACTTTATGACTACATGGTCGCACAGTTTTTCTATCGAGTATTAGCTGCACAATAACAACAGAACGATAACGACACTGTCGTTGAAAGAATCAGTCTATAGGATACGATCCTTGAAATTATTACTTATATAGAAAGCTACTAACCGTGATCGATTAAATTAACTGTCACCGTGACTGCAGCGTCTGAATTGCGCGATAACGCGTTATCGTTTGAGGAAGACGCGATGAAACAACGCTGCGATTATTTCCGCCGAGACTGCAATCGGTTTGCCTACCGAATCACTGTCGCGAATGCTGAGAAATATTCAAAAGGGAGATGCGTTTCAGATAGCGCCACTGGCTTGCAGTGTGTATTTGAGTCGTAACCAGAGGTCGCCATCTTCGTCATTTTATCTTATATTTCGCGCCACTCTGAGACGTTGGTTATCAGATTTGATCGTAGAATTCATATCTGCAGTTATCGTTGAAATACCAACGACTTTTATTAAGTGTCATTTGATGCACGATAAATGCAAAAATGTCAGAATCTTCCGACACACGTATAGACCCAGAAGATACTATTAGCATCTTGGTAGCTACTGATATTCATCTCGGTTTCGATTACAGTAAACAAAGAGGTTTGTTTTTAGGGAAACATTTTTTCGTATCAACATCCTGAATTGTCATTCATCAACGAGTCTCGTGAAATACTGTAAAATACACTCTGTCATTTTCTCTTTGACAGGAAGGCACTCTGATGATAGTTTCACGACCTTTGAGGAAATATTGAAATATGCCAAAGATAACGAAGTCGATTGCATCTTGCTGGGTGGAGATCTGTTTCACGATACAAAACCATCGCAGACAGCATTGCTCAAATGTGTGGAATTGCTACGAAAGTATTGTTTGGGCACCAGGTTAGTAATCCAGAAGTTGAGATACAAATACAGGATTTAAGTTTGTCAAGAATATTATAATATATTTTGTTGCATCATCAGAGAATGCAAACTGGAGTTTCTAAGTGATTCTGACTTGGTATTTCGACACTGTGCACAAAAGCACGTCAACTATGAAGACCCTAATTTGAATGTCTCGATACCGATATTTACCATCCATGGAAATCACGATGACCCAAGTATACAACTTGCTTAATTCTTGATTACACATTAGCTTGTACTCAGTAAATATGACAATTTGGGATCTGTGTTAGGTTTCGGTACTGTTGGATCAATGGATGTACTATCAGCTACGGGACTTGTGAATTACTTTGGGAAATGGACAGATCTCACTCGTGTGGTTATACCTCCTATAATCTTAAAGAAACATAATACTCACATTGCTCTCTATGGTCTGAGTTATATTAATGATCAAAGGTTATCCAGATTGTACAGGGATGAGAAAGTATGTTTACTTTAAGCATAAGTTTTGTATCCAGTCATAATAATCAATATTTTTCTCAACAACAGGTAGAGTTGTTACGTGCAAAAGACATAGAAACTTTCAATATATTTGTTTTGCATCAGAATCGGGTCAAACATGGAAGTTATGCTTATATACCTGAAGGTAAATTACACAAGTTCCTCGATATGGTTATTTGGGGCCACGAACATGAATGTCGTGTTATTCCTGAATTTAACGCAGAAGGTGGATACCATATTTACCAACCAGGTAATATTTGCTCTGTTCTTTTTAGCCATACTGCTAAACTAGTGCAATAAGTTAGAGTAAGAGAAAGTATATTTTTTTACTCTAATTGCACTAGTTGAGCAGTGCAGCTAAAAAGAACAGATCAATTGTGTACTTTTTTCTTATGAGATCATATACATTTTATTTGCTTCTACATTTATCTATGCTGCTATAAATAATTATTTTAGGAAGCTCCATTGCTACTTCTTTGTGTGAAAGTGAATCAAAACCTAAACATGTGGGTGTACTGAAAGTGAATAAGAAGAATTTTAAGATGAAAAGTTTGAAATTAAAAAGTGTTCGACCATATGTTTTTAGTAACATGATTCTCCGTGATCACGACATTAAAGTAGGAGTCTCTCTAGCAGAATCTATATGTCAGTATGTGGATCAATATATTGAAAATGATCTTATGCCTAAAGTCACTGAACAAATTACAGGTGTGTTAATTGTTTTAAACTAATTGTAACTATATTTATTTGTAACTATTTATATATATATAATCATATTTTAATATTTATAATTTTCTAAAAAATTAACATGGCAGGATATCCTGGTCAACCACTCCAACCTTTAATTCGTCTTAGAATATTTCATGAGAATGACAATGAAGTATTTGATACTCTAAGGTTTGTAAAGATAATTTTATTCTGTTCCATCTCGTACTTCTTTCCCTTATTCAGTATCTGTTTAAAGAAACAGAAAAAAAACGTATACTTTTAGTTTAGCACGAAAATATTGTGACGAAGTTGCCAATCCCATGGACATGATTATATTTCGTAAGATAAAGGGAATCGAAAGAACAAGACGTGCCATTAGAGATGGGCTTGATGATGCAGAAGAAATTACAGAACTATTCCAAGGAGATGTAAAGAAATTTTTTAGTTCTTATTGTGAATTATTGAATAGAGTTTATTTGCCCCATTACCTATTTTTTTCATGCAGGTAGGGCAGGATTGGACAAAGACTGTGCCAGGAGGAATCAAGAGGTATTTTGATATGGAAGAAAATAAGGATAAATTAACAGTATTAACTGTAACTGCATTAAATGAGGCGTTAAATCGATATGTTGATCGAGGCGATATAGAGGCCTTTAGAAACATTGTAAAGTAAGTCACCAGAACAATTTATTTCAGGAATTAATTCTCTGCATGTGTCTAAATAATTTCGTGTTTTTATTCGCCAGAGATCAGATGAAAAGAACTATCGATTATGTAAAGAAGCAAAATACTTCGACAGAAAAGAATATCCGTGAAGAGATTATAAACTTCCGCGATAAAAGACTGTCGGAGGAACAAGAGGAACAAGACAACGTAATGACGCATAGAAGAATTTATGTATGCATCTGTGCGATATGTTACACTTTCGCCCATCGAAATATTTTTTATAGGCTGTGCGGGCATTGGACAGGGCACCAGCAAAGAATCCAAAGAGTCGACAAGCTCGTAACATTAATGCAACAAACGACAGTGACAACAGCGATGAAGGTCGTGCTATACCATCACCAGCGAAAACTAGAGGAAGAGGTAGAGGTTCCAGAGGTGGTAGAGGATCCAGAGGAAGTCGTGGTCGCGGGAAAAATGATGAAAAAAATACTTCCGTTACGAAATTGGTGGTAAAGAAAACATATCATCGTTGATTATGCTGTCCTATCTATATATATTTAATGAAAATAATAACTTTCTTTTTGCAGAGCTTTGGAGACGCAAAATCAAAACAAAATACTGAGCCCTGCGTTGTTATAGATTCCGACTCCGATTTCGATTAATTACTGAAAACTATAAGCATTCATATATTATTTTTATATATACATAAAATAATTATATATATATATATATATATATATATATATATATATATATATATATATTTGTACGGAATTAATAAAAATGAAAAAAATATCTCTGAGTATGTATGAGATAAAATTTATATTCTATAAAGATTGTAGAAAAACATCTGGTAAATAAAAAATATGTTAGCATAGACATCTTTCAAATCTTTGCTTTAACAATAATCTTCCATATATTAACATAACATAAAATGTATATACTAGATTTGAGGCTTTCACGGCCATTGATACAATGTCTAGATATAGCTTCCGGATAGCTGCCCTGATGATGCAAACTGCAACGTTTGCGAAACGTCGGCATATCGCTGATTCAAGACACGGCTCCATTCCGGAAGCTATATCTAGACATTATAAAATGTATATTTTTAACTCATCTCTTCGCATAGTTATTATATTAATTTACAGTACATTACTAATTGTTAGCATAAAAAGGCAATATTTGGACTATTTTATAGATCTGTTCAATCGACTGCAAATGTCATTTTATAAATATACTCTTTAATTTTTACGTAATTAATTAATTTTGTAAAAATGTTTGGCATGCGTTTTTTCGCTTTTAATGTTATTAAAAAGAAATAGACGATGCGAGGACATAAGAACCTTAATGTTATAACAAAATTGTTAAAAATTTTAAGTTTAAAATATTTGGAATATTTTTAAAAAATTAAGTATACAGTAAATGATTCATGACAGTTCAGATATCTAATTTTATGTAAAAAAATTAAGAAGATCACTTCTTAATCATGAAAACATGCAAAATTTAATGAACTGTAATTTTAATTGAATGATATACATATTAATGATAATAATTAAGTGTACCAAAGCCAATATTCATATAGTCAAGTCTTTTATATTTAAACCATCTTAAGTTCATCTTCAGATACTGGATCATTTCATTGGAATGTCTTTCTACGGAATATCTGAAGATGAACTAATAACGTTCTTAAATATAAGATCCGACAATGAATACCGGTCCAAGAAGTATTTTTTTTTTGTAGCATAAAAAACGTAGTATAACTACGTTACACCGACAAGTCAGACGAGCAGCTCAACAGTAAAAAAATCAATCTTCATATTTTCAAACACTATTCTACACCGAAAAAGAACTCAATTAATGAACACCATTGTACGACGTCCAATATCCAATAAAAGAATTTTCCAATAGACAATTGCTTTCCAATGGACAATTGAATTTTCTATTAGAAAGTTGTTCTCCTATTGGATATCCTCCATTAGAATCCGCGCGAGAATCTGAATATAATTCTACGGGGTACGGTCCAGCGAGCGCTGCAAATGCTTTGTAGCGTTTTAACTTCTTTCTCTTTCTTCATTCGAATCCGAGAAATAGAACAAGAGGGAGAAACACTACGCGATATTTGTAGCGGTTGTTGGACCGCATCCACGATGGACCTAAAGTTATGTGCGCGACTTTGGGATATTGGCCAATTATTTTCAACATTCTGGGACGCGTTCAGATCACAGACTTCTATATAACTACTAGACTGCTAACTCTTTTAAGCCCGTATCACACTACCGACTGCACAGGCCGACTCGACTGCCGACTACGACTGCCGACTCTCAATGGACTAATCACAGTGAGGCGCCGACTCGGCGCCTGATACGGGCTTTAGGATCAGTTTCACCAATTCTGGTTAAACCAACCAACGGTTAAATTCTAAAGCCAGCAGCACACGATGTTTGTTTTCATGCTGGATTGCTTGCTGGATGGAATTAGTAGGTTTGTTCTTTCGACCTGACCTAGGGCTGCACTGGAACTGTACTAGTTGAAGAAAGTTCAAGATAGTGCAGACCAGTGCAAAGATACATATGGGTCTGAAAAGAACGGGTAAGAGCAAGTAAGGGCTATCGCACACAATTGACATAACTGCATATGCATAGCATAAAATCGTATGGACCAATGAGCATCGAATATTAAGCATCGAACACCAATATGGCGACTTAATACTCGATGCTCATTGGTACATACGGTCTTATGCTATGCATATGCAGTTATGTCAATTTGTGTGCGATAGCCCTTAGAGCAGTAAGATGGCGGACAACATGGCTGAATTAATTTATGGTCATGTTTTCGCACTTATAGCATTTTATGTTTTGTTGAACAATCCTATTTCTTTTAAAAACTGTTTTGTGTTGGATACCCATACAACAAATCCCTCCGAAAAAACGTCCAAGAGCCTTCCCAGGATGTCTTTCGGATATTTTGTGCTGTTTGGATAACATTCTAAATACTTCTTTTATGTCATTCTACATTATATATTTATTATATATTTATCTACATTATATATTTATTATATATTTAAGTATTTACTTACTGTTTATAGATTCCGTCGTCGGATTATTTCTTCTACGTAATGCCAACTAGGTATACCGATTTTACAGGTTATAGATACAAATTTAAATTTTTTCGGTTAGCTGCCCTGCACTGCTTGCTCTACCTCCAGACCTAGGGCAGTCAGTTCACTGACTCGCTGCACTAGTTCAGCCTGCACTGTTCGAAACACATTTTCTTGCACTGTTCTGATCGAAAGAACGTATTAGTGCAAACTTCGTGAACTAGTGCAGCCAGTTCAGGTCGAAAGAACAAACCTACTCTGTTCTGATTGGTGCAATTCTGAAGACGGACTAATCAGAATAGAGTATTTCTATCCAGCAATCCAGCATCGTGTGCCACTGGTTTAACTACCAGAAGTGCCAACATCGAGACTGAATATAAATTGTTCATTGAGATTTAAGGCGTTTTTTTGTTTTATAACCACGATAGCGTTTGTTTGGTTAGTTTGGTCCACTTAACACTCGCAACGCCACGAGCGTCATTCTATCTTTGTTGCTCGAGGCATTGCGAGCGTTAAGTGGACCAAACTAACCAACCAAACGGTATCGTGGTGACGAAACGAAAAACTCCTTTAGTATCACATTGTTTATGGCACGTCGCATTTAAGGCTGCGTTCAGATTCTTCACCCGGGTGTATTCTATTACTAGAAGTGCTATAGTTTATGTAACATATACTGTAGTGTTTCTAGTAATAGAGTGCACCTGGATGAGGAATCTGAACGCACCCTAAGTTGACTACTCTGCTACTTTTAACCGTCGGTTATGGCTCCTGCACACAGGATGCGGTAATGCTTGCCGCGCGGCGGAAGTCCGCGCGACAGCCAATCAATATTCCGTAAGAACTAGAAGGTTATTACGGAAAGCAGCATATTAATTGGCTGTCGCGCGAACTTCCCTCGCGCGGTAAACATTACCGCGTCTTGTGTGTAGAAGCCATTAGCTTAACCGAAGTTGGTGAAATCGGCTCTTATATAGTACTATGTAAAATTGACCCCGAACAGTATTACGAACATGTATTACGTACGGGGAAAAAGGTATCTGTGCATGCCTGAAACTGGTGTTCTAGAAGAAGAGGAATGTAATATGGCCGATGCCGCCTGTTTAAATATTTGTATACGTACAGAGTAAAAAATGTGTACAGAGTGAAATACGTTACAGAAAAAAAAATTGTAAAAATAAATGATTGATCAATTGTATACTTACATCAGAGTACAATAATGCCCAACTAGATGTCAAACAAGATGGCACGTGCTATTGGCAGCACTACATTGGCTGCGTTCAGCAGAACTCATCCAAATAACACGTGTCGTTCAAGAAACGTTTTTGATATATTTTACAAACAATAGTAAAACGTTACATACGTTTATAAAACGTATATAAAACCAATATGTGCTATCAGGGTAGCGCTTTGTAAACGGTTTAATGATATATTGCAATAGTTTAGATGTTCTGCTGAATGCTCTTTGAGGGCATTCCCTGGTAGGGATATCCCTGGTAGCACATGTTGGTTTTATATACGTTTTATAAACGTATGTAACGTTTTATTATCGTTTGTAAAATATATCAAAAACGTTTCTTAAACGACACGTGTTAATTGGGATGGCGATCGCTGAGTAAACATGTTGCGCCACTGAATGCGTTCAGCAGCGCAACATGTTTTCTACTTGAGATGGCGATCGCTGAGAAAACAATAATAAAACGTTATATACGTTTATAAAACGTATATAAACCAACATGTGCTACCAGGGATGTTTTTCAGTGAACTGAAAGTACGCTGAATCTAAGCTAAACATGTTGAACAAGATGGATGCCTCCAGTTTTATTAAAACACAATATACATATATAAAAATATAATATATAGACTGCGTTCGTTTTGACGCTTACAATGCTCTGAGCATCATTTCATCCTTGTTTCTATCAAATATTAAACAAATGATGCTTACACGTGCTATAAACGCTAAAACGAACGTAGCCATAATGTTGTGGATACTATAATTTAAATTGAAAAATAATATATATATATATATATATATATATATTTATTTATTTATTTATATAGCGCTGATATGCCCTCAAAGAGCGTTCAGAGAACATCTAAATTGTTGCAATGTATCATTAAATCGTTTACATAGCACTGAGTTCTGCTGAACACAGCCATTGTGAATGTCGGAACACCAAATAGACGCATGCGCGAGATTTCTGTATATATTAGGAAGTTTTTGCAAATATACAGTATAGATACGGTAAACGCTAAAATGATGCCATCGAGACAAAAGACCAAACTGCGCATGCGCATCGGTCACGTTAACGTGCGAACGTTATTTCTGAAAAATAGCATTCACGAATAACGTCGATTTATAGCTACCAAAATGAAATCTGAACGATTGAGATTCACAAGTCAAGATGATCTCATACTTTTAAGAGAGATCATATCCCAAAATCCATATGAAGAGAATGAAAAATGGAAAACGATTGCAGCCCATATAGCACAGATCTTGCAGCAATATTGCTGCAACGTTGAAGCAATGTTAAAAGTTGCAGCAATGTTGCCGCAATATTGCTGCATATATGGGAGATTGTGTAGGATATTGTTTTATCGTACGTTACCGTAGCATTTACCATGTAAAAACTCTTTTGAAATAAGCGATGTAAAAACGGAATATGGTATGAAATCATGTGACTTCAGCGTTTATCGTATCTAAAATAAGAAATTGCAAAAACTCCCTATTTTTCCCCGGTACGATTAGACACAACCAACCGATGAAAAGAATTATCTAGTGAATTACTAGGTCGAACCAATCATTACAATCTGTGTCCAATTGTATCGTGGTCAATCGGGTCCCACCCATTTCAATATCGGCCAAATCAGCTATATCCATCGGCTGTAGAACATATTAACTTTAAAAACATCGCTATAACCTTAGGATTGTTATGTTTCATGTATCTCATCACAGTAGTAGCATAATATATTCCGCATTCATCATATCACTAGATTTTCACTTTTCCGCCAGCACATTTCATGACTAACAAGTTCACGTGAAAAGTTTCACGTTTCCACGTTTCGCCGAGTTACGTGATCACGAGTTCACGTAAAACTTTTCACTTTTCACGTTTCCATCCTAGGGGAAAAGTTACATGATCGCTGCCCAGACTAGTGACCGCTCTCATGCTTCTCTCTGATTCTTGCAATCATATTTTCGATATAACTCGATTCTGCGCAGTACGCAGTCCAGTATGCTCTTCCGGGAACGTTCTCTTAAGGTCTCATCGTCAGACGTGTGAGACGACGAGAATACTGTAATCGTAAATCTCAGGTATTTTAGTAGTAAACTTATTTTTTCAACTAAAATATAGAGTTAAATTTATATAGCGAATATTTACAAGTAAGTTGCAGCTGCAAAAGTGTTTTATATTTGTTTGGTTACTTGGATGCAGCTGGATAAATTTTCATGTTAATCATGGAGCTGTTGTATATTACTGCAGCATAACCTTAAAACATACTTATATTTGCACATTTTAATACTTTTGTAAGGATTTTATTATCATCAGTTTAAGAATTCGTAAAGTAAGCATTCGTATTAAGAATTAATAATTTAATGTGCACAATCGTTTACAGAGATGCCGCCAAAAAGAGGAAAAGTGCAAAAGGAGGAGGTCCAAGTTTCCCTTGGACCTCAGCTGCGTGAGGGCGAAGTAGTGTTTGGCGTCGCGCACATTTTTGCTAGTTTTAATGACACTTTTGTTCATGTCACGGATTTATCTGGGAGGTTTGTGCTATGTGTGATTACTTATGACACTATAGATTAATATTTTTATATATGTATATATATTTATATATTTAATTATTAATATATATTTTTTTATTCACACTCAGAGAGACAATTGCTAGGGTGACTGGTGGCATGAAAGTAAAGGCGGATCGTGATGAAGCCTCACCGTATGCTGCCATGCTTGCGGCTCAAGTATGTTATTTTACTATCATATCTACACTAGTTTTAAAAAAAATTAATATTTTGACTTCCACATCCAGGCAACACCTAGATGATAACTCTGTAATCTAAGGTGTGTTCATGTTTGTGGGAAAGCGAGTTCTTTTCTGTAGTTAGAAATATGTGCTCAGATATTACACTTTTTCTTATCTATGAGAAAAGAGAACATTCATTCATTTATGATCAACTTATACAGTGTAAGAAAGATAATAAAAATGAATTATTAAAAAGTTTGATTTCTTGTTTTGCAGGATGTTGCGGAGAAGTGTAAAAGCTTAGGGATTACTGCCCTGCATATTAAATTGCGAGCAACAGGAGGAAACAAGACGAAGACACCTGGACCAGGTGCTCAATCTGCTCTGCGAGCTTTGGCCCGTTCAAGCATGAAAATCGGACGTATTGAAGATGTTACGCCAATTCCATCAGATTCCACACGCAGAAAGGGGGGTCGCCGTGGACGCAGGCTATAAATTATTATGCCTTTCTGTATCTTTTATCTTACAATAAATGTCTAGAAAAAGAAATCGTGATATTTTGTTCTGTATACGGCCCTTCTTTAATCCGTACATAGATATTTTTTGGGAATTTAAAATTGTATATACATTTCGCTTATATACTTTATTACTATCGTTACAGTATCTAGGAGTAGTTTCATACTTGATTGTTATAAAGTTGCGTTATAGATAATTATAAATAAGTTCGTCTCGAAATTGACAAATTACCAAAAAATGTGCAATAATAACAATAGAGCAAAGTATAAATATTTTAGGCTTCCATAATATAACGTAAGCAGCCGTTGTGGCAAAAATATATACAAAGCATCCGTGTAGTAAAGCTACTACAATTACATGATCAGTGTTCTCATATATTATATATAATATGTTCTTGTATTGTTATATTTATATTGTAATGAAATTGCAAATAATTATGTCTGACCGACTAACTGGCCAACGGTAAGATACAACTTGACTTTCACATCTACTTTCTGCGCTGGTTTATGCTCGAGCGTGGCGATAGTGTTCACGTATCCATGTTGCATGACAAATCCAACTATCACTGGTTCTTCCTTCTCATTATTTTCATGCGGAGTTACATGTAAACGTATCACGGCTTTGTTTCCCTTCCGCCAGACTACGAGTCTTAAAAAAAACGATTTCATAAATAGAGCGCTTATAAACGCGTATGATCTATCTTTGTGTTTACAATTCACACACACTCTACGTACTTTGGATCGTCCTGAAAATTGTGGTTGTCACTTGTGTCGTCATATTCGGCAGCGTCATCCCTTGGCGGTAAGATCAATGGGCTATGAGGCAACACTAAACTCGCATTTGGTGCAATTTTTATCGGCTTAGGGTCCTCCATCACGGACACTTGCCGTACAGTAGACGGCAATAGATTTGGAGACTCGCATCCCTGCAATTATCAGTCAGTGTCAGAGAACTCAACTCTCAGAGCTACAAGACCACAATTTCGTATTACTTGTTGCGTGCTCTCTTGTTTTACATCCTCCTTTTCTTCAACGAGCGACGTAGATAACGAGGTGTCCAACGGCAATATAGTTATCTGCGTCTGATGCTGCGTCGGATTGCAGAACTTTAGCAGCAGTTCGCTCGCTTTACCCGGTCGCAGAGGTTCGCAAGTAACAATCTTTACTTCCGGGATATGATAACTAAAATATGTAATTACAATTGATAGTTATACAACGTATATAACCCGTATTTTTTCATACGAAAATAATACTGGCCTGCAAAATTAGAAAATTAGAAAATTAGAAGTTTGTTAAGTGGCATAGAAATTTTTTATGGTTTCTAATAGATTTCGGTGCGTTGGATTTAAATCCGGCCATAAAAGGTATTTATCTCATTTCTAGATGAAAAAAATAAGTTTAGATTCTCAAAAACAAGCTATTTAAAAACAAGGAATTTAAAGTTTTTAATTAATATTTTTACTGAAAAAACAAAACTAAAGTCCGCATATCACTCTCCTGAATTAAGGAAGAGAGAGTATTGAATAAAGTGCAAAACTCTGTTGTTAGCATATTCTTCTCCCAAGTAGAATAAATTTCTAAAAGATATTTTAAAGACATCTTAAAAATTAAAAAAAAAAACCACAAAGGACGTCTTTAAGTTATTTTTTTTAATTTGTTGTATTTGAGCTTTTCTGAATTCCAGAGAATGATACGCGCATTTCAGTTTTATTTTTTCCACTAAAAGTATTAACTAAAAACTTTATTTTGAGACCCAGTGAAGCTACGAACCTATCTACCTACGAGCTATATGTACCTCTGAAATTGAAAAATCGCTCAAATGACCTGTTTTTTGCGAATCTAACACCAATTTTCTTAAAATTTCTGATAAACATTTTTTACGACCAGATTTAAATCACACCAAAATATATTAGAAACCATAAAAAATTCCCATGGCACTCATCGGACCCATAATTTTGCAGGCCAGTGTAATTAGTTCCTTAATGTAACGTTCGCATTACTTACAGCGCGGCTAATAAAATCTTGAATTTTGTAGATTGCGGGCAAAGATCCGATTTGCTGACGTTATGCTCGCATACTCGACAACGCTGCGACCTCTTGACTAAAAACTGCCTATGCTGGGGACGTAATTCGTTTATCCTTTCAGCCTGCACGTCCGGATGTTGCAAACGCTGTTCCAATGTGGTGACTGTCTCGCCAGATTTTATGAAATATTTAGAGCAACGTTCGTGTTTGTCACAGATCGTTTATCTGACTAGAGATTGAAAACCATTTAAAGACTGCAAAGTTTCTTACGTTTAGTTATATCCACGGATTCCGTAAATATGTCGCTCGGCAACTCCTCCACTTCCTCGCTCGAGACGGACGGCATCGGCTGAGCGGTTGAGTGAGACTGTGTCGGTGGTTTTATGGGGTGCCCGATTCGTTTGCGAATCAGCGCAGATGTGAAACACATCATTGTCTGTCATCAACAAGCAATATCAGTTGGAGAAACGAAGTATATTTGATTCTCTTAGGTATACAATCAAGTAGAGAGAAGCCAGTAAAAGCCATTTTATATCAGCAATAACATTGCTAATAACATGTATTTCTAGTAATGTTATTAACAAATATATCTCATTTAAAAGTGCTGAAAACAATTTGTTCCAACAAATTCCAAGTTAATCACATTTAGTTATTTGTTACTTTTAGAATGAAAAATGTTTATAACTTGTTTTCAACACTTTGTGGAAACAAATGTTACTGATAAAAATTACTTATTTTGATAACATGTTGACAGCTTTGTCACCAATATTGTCGAAAATATTATTTCTGTAATACATCACTTTGCAGTCTAGATCAAAGAGTGTTGAAAGCAAATGTTATTAGTAGAAAATTGAATTAAATATGTGTTAGCAATATTGTTAATAATAAAGATTTAGTCTTGACTTTGCTGTATTATAAAAACTGTCAAATTTTTGTATAACACATATTTGTATAACACATATTTGTATAACACATATTTGCTAATAACAGTGTTGTTAACTGTTTTAAAATTTTCAAACTTTATTGAAAACATTTGAGAAAATCATTTTTACCAATAACATTAGCTATTAGCAATTTAACAATGGCAAATAATTTTTCTAATTTTGTAATTGATATTTGTGTTTTTCACATTGTTAGAAGCATATTTTATTAGAAACTTTCAATAAGCTGTTTTCTATAATTTGGCTAGAAACATTTTTATTATTAGCTTTTTCTATTAACATTGTTATTGTTACTTTCTCAAAACAAATCTTAAAAATCAGTTACAAATATTACACAGCAATTCTTTAATTTAATTGTTACTTTAATTAAACTTTAATCGAAGTAATTATTGCTCTACTAAACTTTAATTAAATTGTTGATTTACTTTAAATAATTTCATTACTTTTAGTTATTTTTTACTCTAATTTGTTGAAAAAATGTATTGCACTAAACAAACTCGTAATATTCCCAAAGACTCACAGCCGGCATAAAAGAGCGTTTCGGGCGAAACTTCTTTCTCTCACACTGTTGTTTCTCTATAGATGCTAATATTTTATGATAATCAATGAGTGCATTGATTCGCGTCATATGTGGGTTTTCTTGCTCAGGCCAGCCTCCGGTTGCTATATAAATACGTAATAAAAATTTTACTTTTAAAATACTATAAACTTATTCAAGAGATTACCAAGTTTTATAATCAAATAATAGCAAGATATTCAACAATAAAATCTATCCTCACCTACAGACTGATCAGGTATGCCTGCATCACGAGAACTCCACCGACACAATGAACAGAAAAGATAATATACCTTCTTAGGCGTAGCCTTGATATCCTTGCTCTCTTCTGCTTCTAATGCTGTTGCTGTTCTTACAGGTGCTAGACCTGCTCTTGTAGATAATGTTTGAAAACAACAAGGACAGTCAAAGCAATTAGAACATCTGTAAATATATTGTTATTATTGTATCATATATATATATATATATATATATATATATATATATATATATGAAATTTAAAGTATGCGAACATACTTGTTCTTTTTAAGGCGTACTTCTGAAGAGGGTAAGTTTTCCATACAATTAGGGCAGTAATGAGAGTCCACCTGTACAATCAAAATGTGATTTATGAGAAGGACATATTCTACATACACAATGGTATACATCTGCAGAGAGAGAGTCTAATTATTAACTAAATCTTTAATTGTGTATATTTCTGCTTGTGTTTGCCTTACAGATTTCAGAAAACGCACCTCTTGACAAACGCAATAACCACATCGTATCTTTAGGCAGTGTCGACAGAAATATATCTTTGATATCGGTTTCAACGAACCGCAATTGCATACGTAACGCACATAATCTGGCTGATTTAAATATGTCATGTTGAAAAATCAGTTCAACGATTAACGAAGCTGAACGAGCCGAAATGACATGAACGTCACTAACGCCTCTCACACGCTAACCTAAAAGCGCACCCATTTTCTTCTAAGGATGCGTTATATCATACGCTCGCAACGCCGCGAATATTCGTTCTATCCCATCTCGAAAGTGGCGGCTCGTAACGGAGACTTTGGAACTATTTCAGCCAATCATAACGGGTCTAATAGATCCCTTATTTGCTGACCAATAGCGTTCGTTGAATGTTTCTCATGAGTTGGCTATACTGACCGAAGACAAATTGCGACGCAGCGAGTAACGTATTTCATAAATCATCTTACGTTGTTTACGCAATTTCGGCTTGCCCAGAACGAGTTTCGTGCGTGGGTCATCGCTGGAAGTGCCGAAAGTAAGTGGCTGCGTTCAGCAGAGAAAGCTGCTTTGCAACTGTTGTAAAACTCGTGAATCTAATTGGTACATGCTCTTGGATTTAACCAAAATTAAGAGTATACTCTAATTAGATTTACGAATTTTTCGACAGTTGCAAAGCAACTTTTCTGCAACCAGTGTTAAGGGTGCTATTTCACGTCGTACGACAAGCTTTTCGGATACATTTTTTGGTTGGCGAATAGAATATTTCTAGGTTCTCTATTCGTCAACCAATGAACGTATCCAAAAAGCTTGCGTACGACACGTGAAATATTAGCCTAAGACTGGTTTATGATGGCCGTAATCTGTTAACTTATGCCGGAACCGTAAAAAATTGACTAAGTCACAGTCGATTATTTTTCTATAATTCGACTATGTTGGTCAATTTTTTACGGTTCCGGCATAAGTTAACGGATTACGGCTATCATAAACCAGCCTTTACGCGTTCGTCGTGACGAGATATCGTCAAATATTCGCACGGAATAGGTATATCGCGACCAAGCCGTTGTGAATTCGCGCGTTCGTGGTGTTAATGGCGATCGAAAATGCGAGCCGTGATTCGTTATCCCTCGCATCGTCTATCCGTCGAAGGAGAGTGATGTGCGCGAATATTGTCGCTCTGGTGAAAATTGAAATTGGAGAGTAAGTAAAGTGTAAACGAAGAGTGACGGAAGTGTAAGTGAGGCGCTTACAAAGTAAATTGAAACATCGGAACGTAAAGCAAGTTGTAATCTTGCGTTCCAATCTTTCAATTTATGCTTTGTAAGCGCTTCACTTACACTTCCTTTATTCTTCGTTTATACTTTATCTACTCTCCAATTTCAATATTCACTAGGGTGAAAGTGCCGAAATAAGTCTCGCGCGTTTGTCGTGACGAAATATCGCCCAGTAAACACCTGGAGTGATAATATCGCGCAACAGGCAGTCGGTAGTTTTGAGTATGGCGTGTTTGTCGTGTGATAATGCGAGTTATCAGTGCGTTGGAAGAGAGCGTTGTGCGCGAATATTGTCGAAAATGCCGAAAGTAAACCTCGCGCGATCGTCGCGACGAGACATTGTTAAATAAGCGCTCGAAACCGGTATGTCGCGGAACGGGCAGTCGGGAATTCCGAGAAAAGTATCGCGCGTTCCTTACATCAGTGTTCGTCAGAAGTGAATATTTGGAGTAGCACGATGAAGTATCCAGGAGTCAGGATGGCAGTGTCAGTGTCAATTGAAGAAGCAATATCAAGCGTCAAATGAATCAGAAGTGCCATAATAAAGCAGCCAGAAGTCAAGATAGCAAATATTGTGTCAGTGATTGTGTCAGTGTAAGAGTCAATAAAAGTCAATATCAGTGTAGTGCAACAAGTGAATAATTGGTGTGTTAAATACTCGACCGGGAAGTCAAGAGGAGGATCCATAAAAAAGTAAGAATAGTTTACATCATGTTAAACTAATTGCATATGCTTGCGGAATCGTCAATTTCTCGTCGCTTTTACTATTTTTACAATGCATAGCTCGGCAACATATATAGTAACGTAAATGAGCGGATTGCGCGACAATAAGTGATTTTAGCTCTAGATTCAATTCTTGACCCTGATATTTCAATTGCGTTTATTTGGTGATGCCACAATTTTCGATCTGACAAATTTTTATAATTGAAATAACGCTAATAGGTGATGCTAGAACGATGCTGATCGTACAAGAATTTTTTATATTTTACTTAATTGACCCATTTGAATTATTGATAGTCTGATTGCTACTAGGTGATAACATACCACTTTTGCATTCTATCTCAATAATCATTTTTAAACGATGAGAAGAACGATTACAATTAGTTGAATGCGTCCAAATTTTAGTTATTCAACGCGCGATATCTCAAGTTTCTACGACATCTAATCCGACATTTTGCTAATTCTATTGAGCTGAACGATATATAGATATCTCGTCTCGCTCGACGACCAAGGTCGTCAATGTCGCTACCTCGCTACGTTTCTTGGAAGTTGTTGGCAGAATGCCTAATGTAATACCACTCTAGCCGCACGCGTTTCTTTGTCTAAAAAACGCTACGCGTCGCGAGACTATAATTCCATTCTCGATCCTTTGCTTTTAGATTTCAAAGAAACTTTAGTGTAGGACTTCTTGGAAAGCTGCGACATACGCGCATTTGACTAAAGTGCACAAATCTTCCCATTATTTAAGATTGATTAATATAATCCCATGTAAAAATGAAATGCTCTACCCGTGACAAATTTTCGGAACTTATTACTCGCGAACGCGTGATCGAACGGAAATGCGGTTACCAGCGGGATGACTTGCTTTGATAGGAGAATAATATTATGCGTTTCAAATTTTTTTCTCGCACACCTTGAATCACAACTTTCCGACACTTGACAATCCTTCGGCGCTTTTTGCTCGAGAATGCGTGATCGGACGGGAATACGGTTTGCGCCGCGATGTCTTATTTCGGCAGGAGAATATTATCATGCGTTTCAAAATTTTTTTTCGCACACCTGGAATCTCACTTTTTTGACACCTGCCAATCTTTCGGGGCTGATTGCTCGAGAACGCGTGATCGGACGGAAATACGATTTGCGCCGCGATGACTTATTTCGGCAAGAGAATATTATCATGCGTTTCAAAATTTTTTTTCGCATACCTGCAATCTCACTTTTTTGACACCTGCCAATCTTTCGGGGCTGATTGCTCGAAAACGCGTGATCGGACGGAAATACCATTTGCGCCGCGATGTCTTACTTCGGCAGGAGAATATTATCATGCGTTTCAAAATTTTTTTTCGCACACCTGGAATCTCACTTTTTTGACACCTGACAATCTTTCGGGGCTGATTGCTCGAGAACGCGTGATCGGACGGAAATACGATTTGCGCCGCGATGTCTTACTTCGGCAGGAGAATATTATCATGCGTTTCAAAATTTTTTTTCGCACACCTGGAATCTCACTTTTTTGACACCTGACAATCTTTCGGGGCTGATTGCTCGAGAACGCGTGATCGGACGGAAATACGATTTGCGCCGCGATGTTTTACTTCGGCAGGAGAATATTATCATGCGTTTCAAAATTTTTTTTCGCACACCTGGAATCTCACTTTTTTGACACCTGACAATCTTTCGGGGCTGATTGCTCGAGAACGCGTGATCGGACGGAAATACGATTTGCGCCGCGATGTTTTACTTCGGCAGGAGAATATTATCATGCGTTTCAAAATTTTTTTTCGCACACCTGGAATCTCACTTTTTTGACACCTGACAATCTTTCGGGGCTGATTGCTCGAGAACGCGTGATCGGACGGAAATACGATTTGCGCCGCGATGTTTTACTTCGGCAGGAGAATATTATCATGCGTTTCAAAATTTTTTTTCGCACACCTGGAATCTCACTTTTTTGACACCTGACAATCTTTCGGGGCTGATTGCTCGAGAACGCGTGATCGGACGGAAATACGATTTGCGCCGCGATGTTTTACTTCGGCAGGAGAATATTATCATGCGTTTCAAAATTTTTTTTCGCACACCTGGAATCTCACTTTTTTGACACCTGACAATCTTTCGGGGCTGATTGCTCGAGAACGCGTGATCGGACGGAAATACGATTTGCGCCGCGATGTTTTACTTCGGCAGGAGAATATTATCATGCGTTTCAAAATTTTTTTTCGCACACCTGGAATCTCACTTTTTTGACACCTGACAATCTTTCGGGGCTGATTGCTCGAGAACGCGTGATCGGACGGAAATACGATTTGCGCCGCGATGTTTTACTTCGGCAGGAGAATATTATCATGCGTTTCAAAATTTTTTTTCGCACACCTGGAATCTCACTTTTTTGACACCTGACAATCTTTCGGGGCTGATTGCTCGAGAACGCGTGATCGGACGGAAATACGATTTGCGCCGCGATGTTTTACTTCGGCAGGAGAATATTATCATGCGTTTCAAAATTTTTTTTCGCACACCTGGAATCTCACTTTTTTGACACCTGACAATCTTTCGGGGCTGATTGCTCGAGAACGCGTGATCGGACGGAAATACGATTTGCGCCGCGATGTTTTACTTCGGCAGGAGAATATTATCATGCGTTTCAAAATTTTTTTTCGCACACCTGGAATCTCACTTTTTTGACACCTGACAATCTTTCGGGGCTGATTGCTCGAGAACGCGTGATCGGACGGAAATACGATTTGCGCCGCGATGTTTTACTTCGGCAGGAGAATATTATCATGCGTTTCAAAATTTTTTTTCGCACACCTGGAATCTCACTTTTTTGACACCTGACAATCTTTCGGGGCTGATTGCTCGAGAACGCGTGATCGGACGGAAATACGATTTGCGCCGCGATGTTTTACTTCGGCAGGAGAATATTATCATGCGTTTCAAAATTTTTTTTCGCACACCTGGAATCTCACTTTTTTGACACCTGACAATCTTTCGGGGCTGATTGCTCGAGAACGCGTGATCGGACGGAAATACGATTTGCGCCGCGATGTTTTACTTCGGCAGGAGAATATTATCATGCGTTTCAAAATTTTTTTTCGCACACCTGGAATCTCACTTTTTTGACACCTGACAATCTTTCGGGGCTGATTGCTCGAGAACGCGTGATCGGACGGAAATACGATTTGCGCCGCGATGTTTTACTTCGGCAGGAGAATATTATCATGCGTTTCAAAATTTTTTTTCGCACACCTGGAATCTCACTTTTTTGACACC